TGTTATTAGAAGTCTTATTGATAACAAGGAAATACGATGATTATATGAGAAAAGGATGATTTGTAGTATGAAAATAAATTATCTTTAAATGGAAACTGGAAACACATGATTTAATGTTGATGTCCATTTAAAGTCCCAAATAATAAACATTTTGATGTTCCCAGGCACTTGCTAATGTTGCTAAATTCTAAGACATGCAATAAGCATTTTCAGAGAGGCAGAAATCAGTTTCTACCATGTTATGTAACAGAACTAAAATTATAGAATTTTATCTCTTAATTCACAATTATACTCACATTGCTACTATAAAAAGATCATAAATACATTTAGAGGATGATTGTGTTTGTGTTCGTTTATGTGACATGCATTTTGTTGCAATCTGATCACTGGATTTCTTAGAGGAAAAAAAGTAACAATGTTAGCCAGGAAGGCACAGAAAGCAAAGTGACGTTGTTTACAGAATGTTGCAGGTTTATTGTAAATTTTAGACAAGCATATGTATACATAGTCCTGCCTTGACTATGATAATCTAAGATTAGATAAGGTAACTATAGGTTGTATATAAGGTTAGGGGTGGGAAATTTTACTAAAAATTTTTGAATATGATGGCATAGATTAAAACATTGTACAGAAGCTGTATAATGAAATTTTTTTTACCAACGAAGGATACCTTTTAGAATTTACTTTCGATATATTCTTTATATTGTGCTAGAGTACAGAAACAAAAATATGCTATTAAATACTGATAAATGCATGCTTGTAAATTAATCTTGATGAAGCTATAGGTGAGGGCACCACTGCACAGCTGTGCCCTGGAGCCAGAAATGATGTTAGAATTATTAATACTTCCCCCTCCCCATATGCATCAACTGAAATTGTAAGTACATCTGAGCTATGTGGTATCATGTATAAATAACAGTGATGATGATAGTTTTAATAATAATACAGAATCTATTTTCTTAGTAATTTGCCTTTTACAAAATAAAATGTACATATATTATTTTAATCACTAATTTAGTATTTTATCAAAGATTATAATCATAATTTTCTTGCCTTGATAAAAGATAATGTGCAAATCAAGTTGAATATATTTTAGACTTAGATATTGAATTTATTTTAAATATTTTTTAATATAAATGACTTAACTTTGTACTATTTACAAGATAACCCAAAACAGTATTTATATTTTATATTTTTGTGTCAGTAAACTTTTCTTTGGTAAGCAATTGATCCAACTCATGGGCAACCTTATTGGTAAATTAATACATGTCTAACTAAGAGTAACACATGTCTAACACTTAGTAGGTAGCAACCCCAGGGAGATGGGACTACAAGGAACAGGGACCTATTCTTCACAATAGAAGCTAAACGAAAGTAAAACTAGTAAAAGCAGCCCAGGACATATTCTGGTTATTGCAATTGATGTATTGTAATCTGTATTTGTTGTGTGTGTGTGTGTGTGTGTGTGTGTGTGTTTTGAGATGGAGTCTTGCTCTGTCATCCAGGCTGCAGTACAGTGGGGTGATCTTGGCTCATGTCATATTAGTAAATATTAAACCTCTTCTCTTCTCTTCTTTTTGAGATGTAGTTTTGCTCTTGTTGCCCAGGCTGGAGTGCAATGGCACAATTTTGGCTCACTGCAACCTCTGCTTCCCTGGTTCAAGCGATTCTCCTGCCTCAGCCTCCCGAATAGCTGGGATTACCGGTGTATACCACCACGCCTGGCTAATTTTTGTATTTTTAGTAGAGATGGGGTTTTACCATGTTAACCAGGCTGGTCTCGAACTCCTGACCTCAGGTGATCCACCTGCCTCGGCCCCCCAAAGTGTTGGGATTACATGAGCCACCATGCCTGGCCAGTAATCTGCAAATTTGAATGGCAAATGAGAGCAAGCTCTGCACCTCCACTTTCTCCCAAAAAAGGCCTTTGTAGGAATTTAGCAGTCACCAAGCCACAATCCAAGAGCCATGCCCAACACATGCACTGCCACATGCACCATGGAGAAGAAAGACTGATGTGATTATGACCTACCCTGGGACGCAGCTGTTGGGGAAAGAGGGAGATTATCACTCATTTTTACAGACTCCCACTAACCTCACTTGTCAAATAAATGCTCATTTCAACATTCTGGGTGTAATCATTGTGGTTATTTCAATGCACACAGTCGGGTAATTTATAGGAGAGGAACAAATAACCTGTTTCAACTGCTGAAATTGGCTTATCTCCAACCCATAGCTCTAGTTCTGAAGGCAAATAAGAGACAAATCAAGTATAACAAGGCATGTTTTCTTAAATCGTACTGCATGTATACATCAGGTAGAAATCCACACCTATACTGATTTCCAAGAAAGAGGAGCACCAGTTTCCTCACTCTCTCAGGTGGTTTATCTGCTATGTCTTAGCAGGTGGCTTTTTCTAGCAAAATCTTGATTAGACAGCATCTTCTTTGAGCCAGGGTCATGCTTTAAGGGGTGTTTTCTTTTTTAAAAATAACTTTCATTTTAGTTTCAGGGGCGCATGTGCAGGTTTGTTATACAGGTAAACCCATGTCATGGGGGTTTGCTGTACAGATTATTTCATCACCCAGGTACTAAGCCTAGTACCCAATAGTTATTTTAGGGGGTGTTCGTATATTCGCACAGTTGTTTTTCTTTCATTCTAGACACCAGATGGTATTTTGTCTAGAGTAGGACATAGATTACTCTAATTATGTAGATTGAAAAAATTGTGATTATTAACTTGGACTTTGAATACAACTCACAGTATATGGGACTTGTGGTTTTTATACTTGTTATTGCATCTTTTATTTTTAGTTTCTTCAGTGTAACTACAAACTCAAATGTTCTTTAATCGCTATCTCCTGACTGACTTGTTTTCTGTGTTTGTCACAGTTAAGCCATGCCTGTCAATGGAGTCTTCTTCTCAATTAGCCTTTATATGACTTACAGAGCATTTCTGAAAACATCAGTGACGTTTTCAGATAGGGCTATCTTGCTTCTTGTGTCACAAAATCTAGTTCTCTAGCCATCTTCAACTCCCTGGGCTAGAAGTAGTTCCTTTTCATGAAGAAAAGTACCGAGCCTCCCCCATCTTGGGTGGCAGACCAGCATGTTCCTTTTGATTCTGTATGATTTCTTGATTGAACTAGAAAGATTACAGAACAGTGCTGGGTTTTTCAGGATTAGAATAGAAATGATTCATAAGTTCATATATGAATGTAACATTTTCTCTAATTTTAAGGAGGTACTTTCTTTTCTTGCTCTGATACTTGTTTCACAGTCAAGCCTTACTCATTTTCTCCTTTTGTGTGCTGCTAGTGGGACTGCCAACTAAGTTAGCACTAATTCATTTAACAAATAGTTATGGAAGACCTACTATTATGCAGGCCCTTTATGTCCTGTGAATTGGAAATATACCAATCAACAACAACAAAAAAGTCACTTATGTGGTTGTTAAGAGAGTTGCTGGCCAATTTGCCAGTCAGCATCAATACTGGCTGAATAGAAACACATTGTCAGAGAACAAGGCAGGCAAAATCCTGTCCTGTCCTCAGAGAATCATAGATTTGCAGCTTTTGCGTAGAAAGATTTTTGCCTGGGTTTGGGAGTCACTGTAAGACATACATCAAGAGCCTCTCAGTGAGTGCCAGCAATGTATTCCAGACCAATTAAGTAATAAAAATCCCTGAGGGTGGCCCACAGGCATCAATGTTTTTTTACAGCTCCCACATTAACTGCAATGTGCAGTAAAGGTTGAAAACCACTGTATTAGAGTTCAAAATAATACAAATAAATTATGTAATATATTTTACTGTGGATATATTTTTATGAGACAAAGGATTTTACCAAAGGAAGAATTAATGAAAAGAATTTCCCTCCTACTCTCCGTCTTATTTTTTTTGCTATTTTCCATCTTTTTTACTATGTTTTTCATTTCAGTTGATAAGAGCTTATTCGGAATCAAATAGCCAGGAAGGCATTGGAAACCAAGCTCAAAAGTTCAGTAAAACAGCTCAGATAGAGGAATAACTTTGGTTTGTTTGCATACGCTTTTACATAATTGTGTAAAATCATCTCCCTTTTTGTCTATTTCTTTAAGAAATCCTAAAAGCTTCAAGACCCAAGCCAACTGTCATTATCTTCATGAAACTAGAATTAGTTATTGGCCATAGATTTTATAACACCCTCCTCTGTGTTGTAATTACATTTTGATCAAACTTTGATTACATTCAGTAGTAAAAGCACAATTTAATGTTGCTTTTTTTCACTACTCTGTGAGCTTTTTGATGCTTCTTTTTATTACACTTAATTCATCTAAAGTAGAATCGGAAATATGATGGAGTTTAATGAAACAAATGAATAATACACATATTATAGAGGTTATTTTTAGATAGTTCTTTTAAAATTAAAATATTCAAATCCAAATGGTATTGACTTTCAGTTGAGGAGGAAATTACAAATCAGTGTAAAGAAATCTGCTGGGTATTTGCATACCTGACTTCGCCCTTCTAGATGTCCTCACAAATTGGAAACTGCTGACAGTACCAATGATAACTTGGCCCATTTACTATATTTACTGTTTAACTTGTAAGTCAGTAGCTGATTAAAAATAATGTTAAAGTTTTTTTTTTTAAATTAAGATATGTGAGACTGGATCTTCTTGCACATATTTCAGGCCTACTAGTGAGATGAATATTAAAAAAACCAGAAAGATATTTTGTGAAGATAAGTGAGATGGCATCAAACAGAAGATCATTCTGAGTTACTGTAAACATTTTAAATATAAATCTGAAAATCATCAAGTTGGATATTACCCTGCAACATTTTGACAGCAAAAGTATCAGTGAAACATAGTATTAGCTTTCTGGATTTGCTTCTACAGAAATGCCACCTGGAATTGGAAATACCTTTCTGATAGTAATGATGGGAGAATTCATAATCTGAATGTTAGGGAATGGGTTCATTGTACTAGTTAACTGCATTAACTGGTGAGGAGTCAAATGATCTTATCAGCCGACTGCATCCTCACCAGCCTTGCTATCTCTAGAATCAGTCAACTTTGGATAATACTACTTGATTCATTTTTAATAGCATTATGGCCACATCTATATGTCTTCAACAAACTAGTAAAATTTATTGGTATTTTGGGGGCACTGACCAATCACTTAGTTACCTGGCTTGCTGCCTGTCTTAGTGTTTTCTACTTCTTTAAAATAGTCAATTTTTGCCACCCCTGCTTCATCTGGCTGAGATGGAGAATTAGCAGAGTGCTACTTATACTCCCACTGGGGTCTTTGTTCCTACTGGTTTTCAACCTTGCATTAACAGGTGGACTTAGTGACTTGTGGATTAACAGCTACACAACTTATGAAAGAAACTCAAGTTGGTCTTTAGATGTAAGGAAAATTCTATATTGTAATGTCTGGATTCTTGCCAGTTTGATCTACTTAATTTCCTTTCTTCTGTCCCTGATCTCACTGCTCCTTTTAATTCTGTCCTTGATAAAACGTATCAGGAGTTTGCAGCTCAACACCATGGGTCCAAGGAATCTCAGAATGAAGGCCCATAAGAGGGCCGTGAAAATGAAAATGAAAATGAAAATGAAAATGAAAATGAAAATGAAAATGATGGTGTCTTTCCTCCTCTTCTTTTTGGTTCACTTTGCTTCTCTCCTACTAACAGGTTGGATTTTCCTTGTACAGCAGAAATAGCAGGTCAATTTCTTTGTCTTGTTGACATCAATTATTTTTCCTTCAAATCACTCATTTGTCCTAATTTTGGAAAACCACAAGCTGAGAGGGACTGCTGTGGAACTACTGTGGCATCTTAAGTGCTACCTAAAACGAGTGAAAGCTTTAGTTTCGTAGACTTTTCCAGATTTTTCTATATTCCAGAGGAATTAATGAGAACACATTGAAGATGTATTTTAGCATGTGTTTTTCACCCGGATTATTTTAAGGTATAAGTGAGCATCACAAAATTTCCCTAGAATGGCCTATAAATGAACAATTTACTCATAAAGTCAGCCAATGTAATACTAGATTTTTAAAAAAGTAAGTCTCATTGTCATTTTAATATTTGCTAGTAACAAGGAAATATTTGAGACTTAATATAAATATAAAATATATAATGCAACATGTTTTATTTTATATGTGCTGGCAAATGTGTGATGACATTCATATGTGAGGGAAAAAAAAGTAGTATTTGGAAATGGTTCTAAATACCATAAGAGCCTAATATCTACTCCAATTTTTATAACACTAAGTAAAAGACATTAAGAACTAAAAATGTTGAAAGCATATAATCTCATAACAATAGATGTAACTTTTAAAACAAAAGATAATTATCTCATTAGGACCCTAGCTAGGAATTCAAGCTATCATACTTTTGTAGGATAAGTGCAAAATCAACTGAACTTCTAAAAAGAAGTTGAATACTTATCCCTATGTCCATAATGATGCTTCTATTTTTACTTGATAGGATCAAAACCACACTTTGACACAAGATCTCTGTGTGTGTGCACATGTGTAATGATATATTTTTGTCATACCATGAATACTAGTGTGTCACATCAGAGAAAACTAACACAACCAACTCACTAAGAATAAGAACATAAAGGAAAATTTATAAGAGAATGTCACATATTTGCATATATTTTAGGCATGTTTGCATTTCTGTATAGTTCTAGGTTGACTTTTACAATAAAATAATTTAAAGTAACTGAAAATGTATAAAATATATAATCTTAAGGCCAGTACAGGCCTATACAGACATTTAGATTTTTAAAACTTCATTCATTCTTAGATACTGTATAATAAATTTCCTAATGATTATCATGGACATTATCTTGCTTTAGAAAGGGCAACATTAAAATCACACTGGCTACATTTAGGTTCAGATCGTGAGGATAATTTGGTTTGGAATTACTCCTTTCAGTAAACAAGTTAAATTCCCTTCCCCTTTTCCTTCCCCTTCCCCTTCCCCTT